GAGGTTCACCTTCCAGCAGGACAATGACCCTAAGCATACTGCTAAAGCAACACTCAAGTTGTTTAAGGGGAAACATTTAAATGTCTTGGAATGGCCTAGTCAAAACCCAGACCTCAATCCAATTGAGAATATGTGGTATGACTTAAAGATTGCTGTACACCAGCAGAACCCATCCAACTTGAAGGAGCTGGATCATTTTTGCCTTGAATGGGCAAAAACCCCAGTGGCTAGATGTGCCAAGCTTATAGAGACATACCCCAAGAGACTTGCAGCTGTAATTGCTGCAAAAGGTGGCTCTACAAAGTATTGACTTTGGGGGGGGGGTAAATAGTTATGCACGCTCAAGTTTTCTAGTTGTTTGTCTTATTTCTTGTTTGTTTCACATTAAAACATATTTTGCATCTTCAAAGTGGTAGGCATGTTGTGTAAATCTAATGATACAAACCCCCAAAAAAATCAATTTTAATTCCAGGTTGTAAGGCAACAAAATAGGAAAAATGCCAAGGGGGGCGAATACTTTCGCAAGCCACTGTATCTGTCTGTCTGTCTAAAAACATTGAGAAACAAAATGACACGCAAACTCAGCAGCTAAATGACAATGTATTTTATTTTCTATATTATTTAAAGGTTTATTATTTACAAACAAACAAAAATAAAAACAGAAATCGAAATAATTTTTTGACAAACACCGTTTGTCTGCATATAGTTGTAAGAAAGTTTTACATGTACCTTTCCTTAGCCTGTGTCAAGTAACCAACTAATTGTTCATTTTTACCAAGCCTTGGTTAATTAACATGAAGGAGCTCTACAATGATCATGTCTATCAGCGGGGTTTAAGGGGAGTGTTCGTGCGGCTCGTTACAACATTATCTCCATAATCTTCCCCTCTCTCTCTCCAACATGCACATTATCGCACATTATCAGTAAACATATTAAACCTGTCGAGGTCGTAAACCAAAAGGTCGGGGCCCGTATTCACAAAGCGTCTCAGAGTGTGCATGCTTATGTAGGAGGATCAGTTTAGCGCCGTGTCCATATAATCTTCATTATAATCTAAAAGTTAAAACTTATCCTAGATCAGCACTTCTACTTTAATAGGCTTTGTGAATACAGGCCCTGGTTTCCTTTCTCTGGGCACTGTTCTTTGTTATTTTTGCATAAAAAAGAAATAAAAAGAAATACACATATGTGCTGGTTTATTCAGTGTTCTCCATACTGCTAAAACGGTAAGCTCATTTGTCCCTTCGTGCTGTTCAACATACATCCTCATAATGTCCATTCCAGAATGCTAGCTAGCTGTGGTCAGAATTATTGTGAAAAAAAGCATATAGTTGGGAAGCTTTCCCTCCAAAGGCAAGTATCAATAACAGCACAAACCAACACTGCTGCTATCCAGCTGAACTGTGTACTAGGACCTATACACTTACTATGGCAGAACAGGATTAAGCGCTCTTTGTTGTAATAGAACATCTTTGTTGGAATAGAATATCTCTCCATGTTTAGAACCCTAGAATGGGGAGGAGAGTTCCAATCTAGAATCTAGATAATACATCTCCCTTTTAACCTTCTTTCCACTTAATCTAACTGATTGAAGAGTCTGTATCGGTTTTCAAAACAAAGAAAATTACTTAATGTTTTGCTTTGGCCAGTTTCATTCCACGCAACTTTAATAATCAACCCAACATCAGTGGCTAGCTACAAAGAAAGTTACAAATGTGCTCAGAATTTCTACAATGTCTAGTCAACATGTTATGTTAATACCTTCCCAGTTCTATAGACTGCACTTTTTACTGTACTAGTCATTACTGTAATTCTGAGAATTAAGAATAGAATGATAGAACCTTTTTATAGAAGTTCACATTGTGTTAAAAAATTCCAATTGATAAACAGAGACATTTGGCCATCATCTTCATTGCTTACATCTTCCTCTCTAAAAATACTGAAACATAGAACACATATGATAAAGTAATGTATGTGTGCACGCAGGTGCATATTCACATCATAGCTCTTCACACTCATAACAAAAAAGGATGGAACATGGCTATAGTTTTAGGCACAAATACTTAAGAATGTCCTTTTGTGAAAATTCCAATGCTTCCGTTACACACAAATAATGTCTAGGCAAACAATGAACAAAACAACAAAACATAATCTCACAGTACATTGAACGTCAACATTTTTAGATAGTATCTTTTTAAATGTTTGAGAGTGCATGCTTTTTATGAGACATTTTGTGGGTGGACTCTATTGGTAGAATATTGACACACGCTGTCTGTATTGAAGTACTGTTAAAATATTTAAAAACTGTATCTGTAAGGGCTTCGATACGCTGAGCTGATAGAGCCTGTTTGGTGCCATGAAGACATGAAGACTCTAAAACCATGAGAGGTCGTTGCTATTGTGTGTGAGGAAAATATCATACTCAGTACTCACATGGTCGTGATACACAATACATGGGGGTCTTTAACAAATAAACACATAAATTCATAAGCATGTCAAATAGCCTTCAACCTTACAGGGTAAGCTGTGTTATCATGACTGACCTCATTTGATTGACTCACAGTTTAGTCACATTTCTGGACCCTCTGGATACTAAATAAATGAGTGCATAAATGTTTTTTGTTTTGTTACTATTGTAACTGTAATGTGTTGTTATTGCACATGTTGAATTTAATTGTCAGCATGTTGAAAATTTGATTGATTTGATCGAAATTTTCAACAACCAAAAAAGTACTCTTTATTATTACCTATGTTAGTCACAGTATTCTGGTTTAAGATACACCCCAGTCAGTTTAGAATATCTAGGCCCAGATATGATGAATTCACACACAAGAGACAGAAACCTTAATGCAAACCAGCATGTGTTGCTCTTGCGCTAATAACACAATTTGAATTTTTTGAAAATCGTCCCTGAACAACTAATTTATGACTTTACCTATTCAACAAGAGAGAAGTGTCTGGAAAGGTCACATCTGTCTTTTCAACATCAGTTGACTGTGACTGGTAAGTTGACAACACAGTAATACCCAGTTAACAGCTGATATGATACACTCCTAGAATGCAAACCTACAGCATAGGCATATTGCAGAAAAAGACCTAGAAAATTGATCAAATGTCTGTCGGCAGGAAGATCTTTCTTTCCATTGAGATGAATGGGATTTTAAAAAATGGCATTCAACCTGCCACACTATTCTATCACATTGTTTACAATACATGATATGAAAGGCGAGTTAATACAAATACAATTTTTAAAATCTAAAATTTAAAAAAAGCTGACGGAATACAACATCCAAACACGTAACACATTTTGCGTCTTCAAACTTAGAGTTCTTTCAGTGGATGGAATAAACAATTTTATAAAAAAATAGGCAATCAAATGGTGTCAAAACTAACTAAAACATTGCAGTAAAGATATAATATTCAACAATGATTCATATTTACAGTAATTCTAAAATGGCAGATCGTGTGTGGGTCGTCAGACTTATAATAACTGTTAATTGCTGTAGGCAACTCACCCAACACACCCACAGTAAGAAATGATAAACAACATCACCTACACTTTAACAGGGTATTACTGTATTGTGTAGTATGAATATATTGGTAAAATTATAAAAGTTATTTGTATGATCCATTTTATTGAAATCCATATATAGCATCTCTAGAAATAATACTGTTCCAAAGATAGAGTAGCATAAAGAAGAAACATGTTTGAAGGGTATAATAAAAAGTGTTAAGCAGCCAACTAAATAAATGACATGTTGAAACCTCAAGTGTTAAAAATAATCTTTCATCTCTCATTCGCTTCTTATATACTTGCTTGATGTTTTAAATGAATTATGAAACAAGGACATCGATATTATACAGACAAATAAGGATTCTCAGTTTGACTTCAGAACAGGCATTTTTCAGTATCAAGTAGTGATAGCTATTGCATTAAGGTTTTCTTATCTCTAATGAACATATGTATTGTTATCACTTATTAACTTTTTTTTCGCATATAGATGATATCCAGGTTCCTGAAAGAAGTAAGACATTGTTATGATTGAGAATGCACCACACAGTATCTGTAAATACTAGCTCTATAAAACTATTTACAACACACATATAGATACTCTTTATATCACAGTCTATTGCATAATGGTGATAATCTTTAGTTTAGAAATATTATAAATGTACACAGTTTTTTAAGCAACATTACATAACATCTATCACTGTCTGAAATTAGGAATAGAAAAACAGCATCATCCATCCCTCGCCCACACCACACAACATCCTTCTCTACAAAAAAAGAAAAGAAAAGCAGCAATTATATTTATTTAATTCCCTTTGGACCCATTACACTGTCATGGTCTTTACAAACCACTGCATGAAGATATTGTGGCTCAAGAGGATGTATTGCTGAGAGCAATGGAACACCTAGCTACTGTACCTGTGTTTGATTGCTAAGATAAGATAAAGGGTCCACAAATTTGTTATCAGATTTATGTTTGAGTGTGTGCTTTTTGACAGTTTCAAGGTTCGCTTGCGTCAGTTATTCCACAGTGGTGACAAAGCTGCGTAATGTGAGAAGATATTTGTTCCTCTTCTTGCAGGTAAAAAACAAAAATCTAAAAGTAATTGTCATCACGATGCATTCCAGTTTACAAAAACAGAAAATAGCAAACAAACAACCCCCCCCAATAAAATCTCCATACATTGTATATTTATATTTTTTGGAAAGGAAGACTCATGTTTATGTACTAGAGCTTTTAAATAGTCTTTGCCAAATATTCTAGTTGGATTTACACATATTGATATATATATTTGTTTAATTTACATTCTTAAGTTTAGGGAGAAAATGTGTCTAAAATATAATACAAGGGAAGTCTGTACAGGAATTCTATGAGGTTATTTTCTTCAGAAGAAAAATTTGAGAAAACTAAAACTACTAAAATTCCTCTCTTTTTTTGTATCTCCATTAAAATTGAATTAAAACAGAAGTTTAAAAAAGTAAAATGGGATCATAAATTTGATGCGAACCGCATCTTATCTTGGTCGGTCTCTGTACTGCTTAAGTTAGAATCTCTTCTAGAATCTCTAGAGCCTGTGGAATCCCTGTGTTGGGCTGTAGAGGACGCCGCTCGCACCGGGGGCAACGCTCCCGATGACATCTGGCGGAACAGGTTGACCCTCTGGGGCACTGTGGTGCGGAGACCGCTCTGCATACCCGTCCCCTGGACCGCAGCCACCGGTGGGGCGATGGAGGACAGGGAGTCCCCGGACACCCCAGGGTGCACTCGGGGCCCCAGGGACGTGTCATGGGGCAGGGAGGGTTGGGAGGCAGATAGGTGGCGCACGTCTCGACTCAGGCTTCCAGACTGGAGAGCATGGCTGCCCTTGTGGTGGCTGTCACTCCTCTGAGGTGACAGGACTTGCTGCTGTGTTGGCTGCTGCTGCTGTTGTGGTTGTTGTGTTGCCAAGGAGGCTGCAGCTCCTCCTGGTTGCTGGGGCAGCTGTTGTGGTTGCTGTGGCTGTGGTAGTGGTTGTTGGGACGGTAGGGCAGTAGGCAGCGGCTGCTGGATAAGGGAGAGCTGGGAGGAGGTGGGCGAGCCATACTGGAAGCTGCGGCCCGCCAGCCCAGGGGTCTGCACGGGTGGACTGCACACAGCCGTGGTGAAGGACACCGGGGACATGATAGACCCTTGCTGCTGGAGAGAGAGTGGGGTCTGGGGGACGGGCGAGGATGAGATCAGGTTGCTGTGGGAGACACTGGGGACAGGGTAGACACCCTGCGACGAGGCTGGCAGGATGCGGGCTGCGGCGGAGGGGGCGATGACGGCCGAAGCGCTGTAGGTCAAATGGGCGGCTGACTGCTGAAACTGGTTGTTGCCCAGGGCAGTGGTGTAGGGCTGCTGAGCCGGAGAGTTAATGATGGAGTTTCCAGATATCGGGGTGGAATTCATCCCGGTGACCGACATCCCTGTGACCGACATCCCTGTGACCGACTGCTTGCGGTCCACCATCATCACCATCTCCCTGTCCTGCCGGATTATCTGTTTCAATATCTCGTTCTCCTGTGTGTTGAACACCCCAGCATTCAGATCCTTCTGGAACTTCTGGAGGAGTAGACTGTTCTTCTTCCCTGTTAGGAGTAGATCAGTTAGCGGTTAGGTTGACTTCAGCCATGGCACACATGTTAACATATTAACAAACCACACTATATACACTCCGGCAAAGGTGGGTGTTATGACATTGGTTATTATGAGGTGTGATAACAGTGAGTATAAATGGGGGTGACTTGGGTATAAGTATAAGGAAATCTGAGTGAGAGTACTGTAGTAAGAAAAATACATAATAGTACATAGTGGAAAGATATTAAGATTTAAGAGGTAAAAGGTAAGATATTCATACAGAGTGGAATAAGGATTTCGGATATACCTACCCCCCCTTATAATTTTCACAAATACACCATAGGAATCGACATCTAATTATCAATTTACGCCTTACTAATTGACTGCACATTCAGTAGTTGGCTATAAACTACAGAATACACTGTAATGATTCAACCACAACCATTAAACATATTTCAACAGTCTAAAAACTATAGGTCACCACTACTGTAACGTATGTGTTTAATGACAGTTTAGGTTAGTGACATGAAGTTACAAAAAAAACAACAACAAAAAAAACAGTACCAGTCAAAGGTTTGATCACACCTACTCATTCAAGGGTTTTTCTTTATTTTTACTATTTTCTACATTGTAGAATAATAGTGAAGACATTAAACTATGAAATAACACATATGGAATCATGTAATAACCAAAAAAGTGTTAAACAAATCAAAATATAATTTATATTTGAGATTCTTCAAATAGCCACCCTTTGCCTTGATGACAGCTTTGCACACTCTTGGAATGAGTAGGTGTGTCCTCAACTCAAAAATCCTCATTGTTGATCTTTTTTAAAATTATTTTTTATTTGTATCTTATTTGGGTGCTCTGCTCTGAACAAAAGCAATACGTTTGACAAATGAATTCATTTTAATGTGGATGCAGACATTTTATACAGGCAGGAATGTCTATAATATTTTATTATTATGAGTCTCTTAGCAGATAGAAGGTACATTTGTGTAGGTCAAGAAATGGTATAGAGGTGGCATTGTACTGGGTAGAAAATACAAATGTTGCTTTAAAATACAAGAATACACATATCAAAATGAAATGGCAATTTCTAAAATGTTTCATTTTACAGGGAATTGGTACCTGTAAATATACTCATTTGGTTTTCCATTTAATCTACATTACTGCCCTCTTAAGCTGACAGTCCCCGAAATCGGCACTAGAATGACTTGTTAAAATATGTTTATGTTTACATGACTTATTTGATTGATTTCCCACCGTTTTATAAGTCCGAAGCAGCCATCCAGACCTTCCTAGGACCATGTAAACAGCCTCTGTCAAAAAAACTTGTATTTGCCTCCCTCTGGTGGTCGGCTGCATCATTACATCAATTTGTATCACTTCACCGCAACGTTACGTCAAAGGGGCGGTCCTTAGAAAGAAAAATATCCAGCTCAACTGCTTCACGGCACAGACATGACAAAGCAATCGCTGAATTTGTCTCGAGCAGGTGGATCTAAATGCATCACTTTCATAGCTCTACGATAAAGAGTGCGACCTACACACTTCCTTAAACGTAAAGTAAGTAAAGAAGTAATTTTGTGTGAAAGTCAAACGTTTGTTTTACGTCGGAGGCAGACACATTACACATGATCAGAACGACAAAATTGATCCCTTTACATAGCCCTTCACCCCTTGCATATACAGTGAGAGAAAAAAGTATTTGATCCCCTGCTGATTTTGTACGTTTGCCCACTGACAAAGAAATGATCAGTCTATAATTTTAATGGTAGGTTTATTTGAACAGTGAGAGACAGAAAAACAACAAGAAAATCCAGAAAAACGCATGTCAAAAATGTTATAAATTGATTTGCATTTTAATGAGCGAAATAAGTATTTGACCCCTTTGCAAAACATGACTTAGTACTTGGTGGCAAAACTCTTGTTGGCAATCACAGAGGTCAGATGTTTCTTGTAGTTGGCCACCAGGTTTGCACACATCTCGGGAGGGATTTTGTCCCAGTCCTCTTTGATCTTCTCCAAGTCATTAAGGTTTCGAGGCTGATGTTTGTCAACTCGAACCTTCAGCTCCCTCCACAGATTTTCTATGGGATTAAGGTCTGGAGACTGGCTAGGCCACTCCAGTACCTTAATGTGCTTCTTCTTGAGCCACTACTTTGTTGCCTTGGCCGTGTGTTTTGGGTCATTGTCATGCTGGAATACCCATCCACGACCCATTATCAATGCCCTGGCTGAGGGAAGGAGGTTCTCACCCAAGATTTGACGGTACATGGCCCCGTCCATCGTCCCTTTGATGCGGTGAAGTTGTCCTGTCCCCTTAGCAGAAAAACACCCCCAAAGCATAATGTTTCCACCTCCATGTTTGACGGTGGGGATGGTGTTCTCGGGGTCATAGCCAGCATTCCTCCTCCTCCAAACACGGCGAGTTGAGTTGATGCCAAAGAGCTCAATTTTGGTCTCATCTGACCACAACACTTTCACCCAGTTCTCCTCTGAATCATTCAGATGTTCATTGGCAAACTTCAGACGGCCCTGTATATGTGCTTTCTTGAGCAGGGGGACCTTGCGGGCGCTGCAGGATTTCAGTCCTTCACGGCGTAGTGTGTTACCAATTGTTTTCTTGGTGACTATGGTCCCAGCTGCCTTGAGATCATTGACAAGATCCTCCCGTGTAGTTCTGGGCTGATTCCTCACCGTTCTCATGATCATTGCAACTCCACGAGTTGAGATCTTGCATGGAGCCCCAGGCCGAGGGAGATTGACCGTTCTTTTGTGTTTCTTCCATTTGCGAATAATCGCACCAACTGTTGTCACCTTCTCACCAAGCTGCTTGGCGATGGTCTTGTAGCCTATTCCAGCCTTGTGTAGGTCTACAATCTTGTCCCTGACATCCTTGGAGAGCTCTTTGGTCTTGGCCATGGTGGAGAGTTTGGAATCTGATTGATTGATTGCTTCTGTGGACAGGTGTCTTTTATACAGGTAACAAACTGAGATTAGGAGCACTCCCTTTAAGAGTGTGCTCCTAATCTCAGCTCGTTACCTGTATAAAAGACACCTGGGAGCCAGAAATCTTTTTGATTGAGAGGGGGTCAAATACTTATTTCCCTCATTAAAATGCAAATCAATTTATAAAATTTTTGACATGCGTTTTTCTTGATTTTTTGGTTGTTATTCTGTCTCTTACTGTTCAAATAAACCCACCATTAAAATTATAGACTGATAATTTCTTTGTCAGTGGGCAAACGTACAAAATCAGCAGGGGATCAAATATTTTTTTCCCTCACTGTAGGACGGACGCACACTGTTTAAATGGCCCAAATGTTGATTTAGACGTTCGCATATTTGACAGATTATGACTATCACTAATGTCATGATATGTTTGGTAAAGTAATAAAGAAGGTGAAATATTTTTGGTAGATGTTCCTGAAACAGGGGGGGGGGGGGGGGGGGGGGGGTGTATTATATTGCCCTATTGCTAGATTGATGACTAAAGCCATAACGAAACAGTGCAAAACGGCTGTCAGTTCAACTGGTTTAAACCTTATAATAGGTATCCTTTAGAAAATACGTTAGTGGCATTGTCATTACGACCATAGGGTATAGCCTCCCAGTTGACATATGGTCAGCTGTACAGATGGCCAGGTCAACGGCAGGGCACATATTCAAAACTACAGGATTTTAACATCCGTAGCTTTGTGTGAAACAGAATCAAGGGGATCACTGGATTCCCTAGTGAGGTAGTGTTGGGAAATCCATCCCTAGGTTTGTGTCCCAAATGGAACACCATTCTCTTTATAGTGGGCCAATAGGGCTCTGGTCAAAGGTTGTGCACTTTATAAGGAATAGGGCGCCATTTTGGGACACAGCCCAAGTCCTTGTTATGCCTCACATTATTCCTCATCAACCAGCACAAAGTAAATGACAGTGCTGAACATTAGGACTCTAACTAATCACGATGCTGAACACCAGGGAAGTGGCTAGATGCTAATGCTAACACCAGACACTGAGTGCAGGGTTGCCATAGACTTACATGACATCAGCATATATTGCTGAACATAATGCTTCTCCAATAAACACTGTGGATGGGGAGCACAACATAGCACATTCTTAAAACATAAGGATATGGGATAGTGGGGTATGGGGCCTTGTAAGTCAGGTACAGTACATTCAAATCTCACACAGCTCAGAAAACTTTGACTGATCGAAGCTGAGGTTTGTAGGGATCACAGTATTAAATTACGCTTATTTGGGCTGAATATAGTTATTGTATATTATGTACTATACCAAATACTGTATACCTAGCCATTCTGGTAGTACTAAATCTAAATGCACAATCAAGGGAACTAGCTAGGCATGCTTAGAAATGTATACTGTAACTGACAGTACTAGTGGAATAAAATTAAAACATACTTGCTTCACTTTCAAAAAATTTAAGCAACATTTACCTAAACTCAAGTTTCTAGTTATATATTAACAGGTGAGGTTAAATCATATTTATTTATGTCTACTGTTGCCCTGGTGTTATTCTTATGCAACCTTTTCCCCAAAACTTTTTACCCATATTTCTGTTATATACAGTGCCTTCGGAAAGTATTCAGACCCCTTGACCTTTTCCACATTTGTTATGTTACAGCCTTATTCTAAAATGTATTAAATTGTTTTTCCCCCCCTCATCAATCTACACACAATACCCCATAATGACAAAGCAAAAACAGTTTTTTTGAATACATTTACCAAAATGTCTAAAAACCGGTTTTCGCATTGTCATTAGGGGGTATTGTGTGTAGATTGCTGAGATTTGTTATTTATTTAATCAATTTTAGAATAAGGCTGTAACGTAACAAAATATGGAAAAAGTCAACTGGTCTGAATACTTTCTGAAGGCACTGTAG